AAGACACAGATGAATCACAGGGATGTTAGGAAGTATTTCTTCAGCCACAGAGTAGTCAGGAAGTGGAATAGTTTGGGAAGCGATGTAGTGGAGGCAGGATCCATACATAGCTTTAAGCAGAGGTACAATAAAGCTCATGGTTCAGGGAGAGTGACCTAGTAGCGACCAGTGAAGAGGCGGGGCCAGGAGCTTGGACTCGACCCCTGCAACCTCAGCTAGGTGAGTACACAGCAACATAGTCTTTCATCATTAATGCGGCTGTGACTGGAAAAAACAAAAACAAATCTAACTTACTAGGGCTGGGGAACTTCAGGAGCTCGTAAAGTTCCGAATCCTGTCTCCTTGACGGCCTGTGTGGCAACCAGCGGCCACAGCACCAGCAAGATCACCAACACTCCACCACTAACACCACACATCTGACGGATACAGCACTCACTCAGTGATCGCAAATTCAACAGTGACAACTATGTAGGAATACACACACACACACACACTGTCAATATTTCTTGAGTGGTAAAGCTTTCTAGCAAATGTTTTCTTCATATACAAAGCAAATGAGAATTCGAAAATATTAGACTTACGTTGAAGCTTATTTTCTAATCAGAGCGTTAATAAAATTAGGTATAAATGATTTAATAAATAAATATAGGAAATACACATCACTGTTAAAACATCTATCTTCTTGATTCACATTTTAACTTTTCTCGACAAATTAAATATGCTCACAAATCCAATATGCTCACTGCAAATCACCATACACGCGCACAGACACGTTCCATAACAAATTTTAAGTATATTTCAAAATGTGACGTCTGTTGGCAGGTTCAGACATGTTTTCTCACCTCCTGGTGGGTACTCACAGTAACTATATTTTGATGCTCTTCCTGCGCGTGTTGGGGTGCGCCCGGTAAATTTCCTATTTTCTCGGTGAAAAAAACTAACCTGGCAGCAAATTTATCAAATATCACAGTCTAATAGAGATGTAAGTGTTGGCATGAGCGAGGACTCACCTCACACGGCCAGGAACGGTGGACGATCACTGAATCACTGCTGCCCAGACGGGAGAAACTCTTCCCAACCTCTACCCGGGATTTCTACACCCCCCTCACACCAACCCTACAGCCCACATTCAGCCACCCCTGCCCACCAGTGTCCAAAACCTGGCCAACCCGAGGCCTCATACCCACCACCTCCCTCTACAGTCTACAACCTCTCGCAGAAAGCGTTCAGCAAACAATTATCAGAATTTGGTTCGATTTTCCTAGTGGGTTGAGTCGTGTGGGAA